GGGGCGAACCAACCTTTTCGTTTTCGAGTTGCGCCTTCAGGTCGTCATAATTGGCACGCAACAGTTGTATATCTACTTCTTTTTCGCGGCATGCAGTGTTTAGTGCATCCAGGAAAAATTCACTGTCTACATTTTTGTCTTTCATCTTTTCTGTCAATCGATTGAATCTGTCCGATAGGACCTCTAGTTCAGCACGCGTTTTGCTGCAGAACTGGTTGCAATGCGTATCGTGGGTGAAACGCGAATTAGCCATTTTTTTAGTGTATTCTGTCAGCTCATGAACGCCAGATAAGAGTTTCTTCAGAGGAGTCTCCTCTTCCTCACGCTTTACATACTCATATCTCACCCATTTTTCTCCCGGCGATTGCATCACGCCCTCATGCACATAAGCGGTTGTAGGTCTCGAGGCTAGCGATTCAAAAATACGTTCAGCTTCCTCAACGCTTCCACGAAAAGGTACTGTTTCGCAATCAGCAGCATCAGATGTTGAAGTTAGCGAGGACATCGAACCTTCAGACACTTCGCCATCCGGTTCTAAATCCAATAGGCCCACCCCGGTTTTCTCGGCACTTTGAGCCTCACCGATTGCTGTTGCTGCTATCGGTACGCAGATATCGAAACCATTCCTCTGCAAAATGAACGATCGACTGAATCTTAATTTAGACGTACTTTTTCGTAACCGGACTGTAGACACTCCCTTTAACAGAACCTAAATCATTTCTGAAGCAGGCTGAACTGTCCAGAATGGACTGTAACAAAACGCGTTGTCTCGAGCTCTAACCGCAGGCCGAAATTCAGAAAACTTTGAAAGCTGAAGTCTTTGGCCCGGAAATTTGCTCGATAATGCAAGAGGAATGCAACAAGCAAATTTCACATTCCTGTGCTTCACGCACTACAATCTCTTTAATCTGCAGACGTGAAGTCTTGCAGAAAAGGGGTGGCGAATGGCTAGGAATCACAACAACACAGTACAATTACTTAGACCTAGACACTGGTAGATCCGTCCGTGGCAAAAGAAGATAACCGGCCATCGCGCGGGCTGCCCATGCGAAGATGCGTTTTTTACATAGTTCCTCACAGTCTTTGTAGCTATCGGCACCGGTTTTTTTTTTTCAAATGCTTCTAGCTAAACAGACTAAGACTGGACGCAAGAATTGCCAAAAGCCATCCCCTCAAAATCTCAGCTTTCTAGCTTTCCTGGCTCCTGAGTTAGCAACTTACTGGAAAGAAACTTTCATGGACCCGCACGTGGGTACCACGCATACCCGATACCTGGGTTTGAGCTTGTTGAGAATTACTTGGACGGGTAACATCCTCTTAAAATAGTCTTCTAGCTTTTCAAGTTCTCGAGTTAGCAACTTGCCCG